CCGCGCGCGGGTCAGGCCCCGCCGCACCCTTCCCTATTGGTTGCCCCGCGGGAACGTCAGTCATATGCAAATAAGGGTGGGGCGGGGCGGACTCCGGTTGGCCCCGAGCCGGCCGGGGGCGGGACCGCTGGAGGAGGGTGGCAGAGAGGGCGCACTGCAGTAAAGGCGCGGAGCCAGTGGGGCGGCTCGGGGCGCCCGCGCTGCGGAGGCCCCGGGGTTGTGTGTGTCCAGCCCGCCCGTGAGAACACGCTCGCGCGCGGGCGGCCCGCCTCCCTCACGCACACCTGGGCGGGCAAGGCCCCGCAGGGCAGAAAACGGTTGGGTTACGAGGTGTCCTTGTGCCCTCACCACTCTCAAAGCAGCACAATACACTCAGACATAGCAAGGCCCGCATTCGGGGGAGTCAATCAACTGCTGATCCAAAACATTAGTGGAGAGGGTGCAACTGCGTGGCCAGAACAATCCCTCAGAGGCGAAGGAGGAGTGCTTATTTACAAGGCATTCACGCTAAAGTCGCCTAGAAATCATTTCAAGTATACAGATAACTATGCCGCTCTATATAAGGAACTTGAGCTTCAGTGGGTTTTGGTATCCTTAGTGGTCCAGAAACCATGTGGATACCAAGGTATAACTGTATTTTGATGCCACATCCATTAGCTTGTCACACCCACAGTCTCCAGCCCACGCTGGTACTCACAAAGTCACACAGAAACTCACCTAACATACTACCCCATACACTCATTCTCTTCCACCCTCTTCACATCACCTGGTTACATACATCCTGTTATATGTGCCCCAAAACACCCACCCCCAGCTTGAAACCAGGGCTGCTGTATGGATTGTGCTGGATTCTTTTGCTCCCTCCACTCCACAGCCACAGCCAGCTGGAATGGTGGTTTTGTTTGCCCAATGGTCAGATGAGACTGGGATCATGTGGTCAGGATGCAATAGCCTGGTATGCCAAGTCAAGGGCTTGAACCTCAGGTTGGGCACGGGCAACAGGCAGGGCCACCCAAACAGTGGCTCAGACATAAGGTTTGACTATGATGCGGGAGACTTGCCAAAGCAGAAAGGTCAAAGGCCCAAGGCTGGGTGGAGCCCGACTTAGGAGATACTGGTGCGGGTCTGGGGACCTGGCAGGCAGAGGTACAACACACCTCGTGTTGGTCCTGACAAGGAAGGCATGGAGGCCTGGCACAGAGTCACACCTGGGCAGGTAAAACCAAACAGGTTCAGATGAACCATGGCTGGGGCTCTGACACAAGGCACAGGAGCAGAGAACCCCAGGTCTGATGGTGGAGCCCAGGGCAAAGTGGGGGAGAAGCTAAAGCAGGGTAACTTGAACCCTGAGGGGGCAAGGCAGGCCTGTAGCCTGCTGACCTCCAGAGACTGCAGGGCCAGACACTTGGCTGTGAGCCTGGAGGGGCTACCCAGGGGACTATTAGGTGGCTGCCCCCTCCTCCCTCTGCAGCCGAATGCAGACCCTCCATTACCTCACTACCCCAGGGACTGCAACCTGAAGCAGAAATCAATGTGGCCTGCTACCTCCCTACCACTACCCCCTCCCCTCCCTTCCTCACCCCACCGTGAGTCACCTACTAGCATGTTAACCCATTCCCCACTGCGAAGCTACCCTGGCTCATAACTCAGAGGGGCCTTGGCCCCAGCTCCCCCACTGCCAATAGGTGAGAGAGAACCTGGCCTGGCAGCGGGGAAGGAGGCCCCCCACACATCTGGGAGAGGAGCACATCTGGGAGAAGCTACAGTGTGCAGGGAGGAAGACTGAGAAGAGGCCCCTTGCAGGGCAGGGTACAGCCAAGTGGTGGGGGGTGGGAGAAGGGGGGATCCAGCCTGGCAGGGAGGGGTGAGGATCCGGGTGGGAAAGGGCCCCCCTGCCCTGGGCGCTGGGCCAGCCCTATACTTAGATTCCATTGTTCGATGGAGGAACCCTGGGTGGGGGTGAATAGGAGGGACCTTCTCTCTCTCATCCTTCCTCATCCCTAACTGGGGCCTCCAAAGTTGGAAAAGGCTGAGGGGGTTCCCCAAACCAAGGCCCCACCCCATCTGGCATTGGCAAGCCTGTCCCCGTGGCCACCCCCACCCCCTCACCAACTACACAAAAGGCCTGGCTCAGAGCCTACCCCAAGGCTGCTGCACCAGCCCCCACCCACCCCACCCAGTCCCGGGGACAGGAGCCCAGCCGGGAGATAGGGCAGCCCGGGGCAGCACAGGCCGAGGCCTGCCCAGAGGCCCAGGGTGTGCAGCAGGGCTGCTGACATGCTGAGGGGACAGGCA